GCCAATTCTAGAAAATTGCATAGTAATATGTCTAACATTGTATTTATCAGATGCAATGAAAAGGATTTAATTCTGAGACCAAATATGTCCTGCAAGCCACGTTGTCTGTTTCTCTGCCTATGGTGACAATGGAAACTTGGGTTGCTGGTCAATATCATTGCCACCACAAGTATAGAAGTTACCTCAGAGTAACACCATTGGAGCCCAGACATGGAGAGACACAGTCCTACTGACAACATTTGCTCTCCTGGATCCAGCCATGCCTGAAGTTGGATGCCCCCTTAATGTTTCCCTTTGCATTAAAAAAAAAAAAAAAAAAAAAAAGAAGCCTTACTTGGCTTAAGCTAGCCTAAGTTGGGTTTCTGTAATCTGCAAGCAAAGAGATCTGACAAATAGAATCAGTTATAATACTTACACAAAAATAATCAAAACAAAAATATTGAAACTTGAAAGAAAAAAAAGTCACTCATAGGAACCAAAAGGAAGGCAATGTACCCTAATGCCATTTTTTTAAATGGCAGTCAAAGAAAGAAATAGAAACTTTTATCTCTACCAAGGATTGAAGAAGTTATGATAAAAGGATAAGGGTGAATTCAGAATAAGTTTAAATTTGGAATTAAAGCAAAACAGTTTTAGAATGAAAGGTACAGAACAGAATGCAATGCTACAGAATCGCAGTGTGCCAATAACAATGTAACCATCAAAAAGCAGAAGACGAGAGAGAATTCAAAGGATAAATGAATAATTAATAGTGCCTAAAATTTAAAGGTATTATTTAAAAAACAATGACTTCAACTTATTTAACTGAGTCCAAATCTTTTTTTCTTAATGTAGAGGTGTCTCTAAGGAAAAAAAAAATGGCAGGGTGGCGAGGAACTAATCCGAAGTTCAGCAATTCCTTTGCTTTCTTTTTTTTTTTTTTTCTAGTTATTTTAGGTAAAAGTTGGCCAGGTGTGGTGGCTCACACCTGTAATCTCAGCACTTTGGAAGGCCAAGGCAGGTGGATCACTTGAAGTCAGGAGTTTGAGACGAGCCTGGTCAACATGGTGAAATTGCATCTTTAATAAATACACAAAAATTAGCCAGGTGTGGTGGCATGCAGCACCTGTAATCCCAGCTACTTGGGAGGCTGAGGACGAAGAATAGCTTGAACCCAGGAAGTAGAGGCTGCAGGGAACTGAGCTCACGCCACGGCACTCTAGCCTGGGCAACATAGCTAAACCTCGTCTCAAAAAATAAAATAATAATTTAAAAAATAACTTGACAAGAGCAGTTTCAAAAAAGTGACAGCAGGAAACTCCAAGTTGCAATTGTTGGAAACAATGAAAGTGAAGTTAAAATAAGCATGCCGAGGATAGGAATTTGACTGCTAGAAATGGAAATATTGCTTCAATCAGAAGAGTTTATTTTTCTCACAGAACATAACATATAGAGGTGGATATCCCAGGGCCTAGATTCCAGAAATCTAGGCTATCTAGGCTGACACTAGACATCAATATTATACTAATTCTACCCTGTCACCTCATTTTTAGCACCAAGCTTCAATTCTCAAGGATGCCTCATGATCACATGATGGCTGCTAGTTCCAGCCATTACTTTCTACATTCCAAATAAGGAAAAATGAAAAAGGAGGAAGAGGACAAAGGACAGCTACTGGCTGAACAGTCATTTTTAAGATAGTTTTTCCAGAAGCAGCACTAGTGATTTGGATTTGTTTCTCATCAGCCTCATCTCTCTGCAAAGGATGCTAGAAAATGCACTCTCTCTACAAAACCGGAGCCTACCTCTTTCTACAAAACCAGAACTCTAGGGAGAAAGCAAAGAGTTGTTATTACAGAAATGTGGCCATTCCAGCTGAAGCCTGTTTCCAGGCTAGCAGTAAATAATCCTGCAGAGATCGGGCACTGTCTCTCACCCCTATAATCCCAGCACTTTGGGAGGCTGAGGAGGGTGGATCACTTGAAGTCAGGGGTTCTAGACCAGCCTGGTGAACCTGACACGGTGAAACCCTGTCTCTACCAAAAGTATATAAAATTAGCTGGGTGTGGTATTATGTACCTGTAATCCCAGCTACTTGGGAGGCTGAGGTGGGAGAATCTCTTGAATCTCTAAGGTTGAGGCTGCAGTGAGTAGAGATCACGCCACTGCACTCCAGCGTAGGTGACAGAGTGAGATCCTCTCTCAATAATAATAATAATAATAATTTTTTAAATGGCCAGGCATGGTGGTTCATGTCTGTAATCCCAGCACTTTAGGAGGCCAAGGCAGGTAGATCACCTGAAGTTAGGAGTTCTGGACCAGCCTGGCCAACACGATGAAACCCCGTCTCTACTAAAACTACAAAATTAACCAGGCATGGCAGCAGACAACTGTAATTCCAGCGACTTGGGAGGCTGAGGCAGAAGAATCGCTTGAACCCAGGAGGTGGAGTTTGCAGTGAGCTGAGATCGTGCCACTGCACTCCAGCCTGGGTGACAAGATGAAACTCCATCTTAAAAAAAAAAAAAAAAATTCTGCAGAAAGGGAGAGACCGTATAGAGGGCTTTGCCAGGATGGCAGAGGGAGAGGATAATATTTTTACATACTTTTAATGAAATACGTTTCTCTTCTCCCACTAGATCAACAACTTTCATTGGGAGGTCAGGCCCAGACTAACACATGGGGTCAGCTGAAGTGGTGAATGATTTTTCTTTTTTACATAAGTTTCATGGTGATCTTATACCAAAGTGCTTTTGAACTAGCAAATGCTTAGAGCTAGTGAGGGGAGAGTATTGCTCCCTAAACTAAAAGGGCTTTGATAGGAAGATGAAGACAGAGGTTGGACACCTAGAGCAAAGAGTCTGTCTCAGCTAACAGTGGAATAAGGAAGACTGCAGGATAACTCCTAATGCTGGCGACAGGAATTAACACTGCCCACTCCTTTTCATTTGCTTGTTGCCATTTCTTATTTTGCTGTAGTTAAGAGCCTGAAGAGGCCAGGCGCCGTGGCCCATGCCTGTAATCCCAGCACTTTGGGAGGCTGAGGTGGGCAGATCACCTGAGGTTGGGAGTTCGAGACCAGCCTGACCAACATGGAGAAACCCCGTCTCTACTAAAAATACAAAATTAGCTGGGCATGGTGGTGCATGCCTATAATCCCAGCTACTAAGGAGGCTGAGGCAGGAGAATAGCTTGAACCCTGGAGGCGGAGGTTGCAGTGAGCTGAGATCACGCCATTGCACTCCAGACCAAGCGACAAGAGCAAAACTCCGTCTCAAAAGAAAAAAGAAACTGAAGAGGGAAGAAAAATCAGATATGGTTGATTGTTTCTGCAGGTTGGGGGAAAAGGAAAGACTGTGGTTGATAATCCAGGCTGATGGGTGTGAGGGGTAGGAGAGAAATCTCCATCATACGTATGAGAAGCCAAAGGCGGAAAGGTGTTTCCATTTGGAATCCTAAGGGGAGACAGCTTCCCAGACTGCCTGCCCCACATGGAGCAGCTGCAACAGACCAGGATGGAAAAGCCCCTGAAGGGCTGGGAGGTCCCCAGCCCAGCCCCCCTTATTTCCAGTGAGGCCTGTAAAAGACCCAGAAATTTTCTCATAGGCCCTGAGGAGGAAAAGAACTGAAAATTAATTAGTTGTATGCCTGACAAGGGTCACCAAAGTGTGGGGCCAGGAGACCCCGTAGCAGAGACACAGGATGGACAGCCCAAAGCTGAGAGCCAGTGAAGGAGTCTTCCAAGTCCAGGGGAATCAGTGGAACTAAGGGGAAACGGGGAAATGGCAGAGCTCCCGACAACCAGCGTAAGGGCAGCCTGTGCTGAGAGAGCAGGCGTGGGGAGCTTGGGCACAGTGACTGGGGTGGGAAACGCCCACACCAACAAGACGAGGCATTTCTCAGAAACCAGCATCTGGAGCTGATGTGGGGATAGGAGACTACGCGTCCCAGATTGTGTCCGCATGGCTACATGGCACCCAGGGAGGCCACAGAAGCAAACAACTGGTTGGAAAATTCTCAAAAGAGACTTTTCCTTTCTTTTTTATTTTTGTTTTTAAAAAATGGGGTCTCACTGTGTTGCCCAGATTGGTCTCTAACTCCTGGACTCAAGTGATCCTCCCACCTTAGCCTCCGGAAAGTGCTAGGATTACAGGTGTAAGCCACTGCACCCAGCAAAAGATCCCTTTTCTAAAACAGAAAAAAAAAAAAAAAAAGACCAGGTGCGATGGTTCACGCCTGCATTTCCAGCACTTTCAGAGGCCAAGGCCAGCAGATCACCTGAAGTCACGAACTCGAGACAAGCCTGGGTAACACGGTGAAACCCTGTCTGTAATAAAAAATACAGAATTAGCTGGGCGTGGTGGCATGCCCCTGTAATCCTAGATACTTGGGAGACTGAGACAGGAGAACTGCTTGAACCCCGGTGGCAGAGCTGCAGTGAGCTGAGATCACACCATTGAACTCCAGCCTGGGTGACAGAATGAGACTGTTTCTCAAATAAATAAATAAATAGAAATAGAAAATAAATAAAACAGAAAAAAATGTTTGAAGAGAAATGTGTTTTTTGAGCAAACTGAGTTTTTGTTTGCTTGTTTTTGAGACAGAATTTTGTTCTTGTCACCCAGGCTGTAGTACAGTGGCACGGTCCTGGCTAACTGCAACCTCCACCTCTTGGGTTCAAGCACTACTCTGGCCATAGCCTCTGCCTAGAGTAGCTGGGATTACAGGCACAAACCACCACGCCAAGCTAATTTTTGTATTTTTAGTAGAGAAGAGGTTTCACCGTGTTGGCCAAGCTGGTCTCGAACTCCTGACCTCAGGTGATGTGCCTTCCTCAGCCTCCCAAACTGCTGGGATTACAGGCGTCAGCCACCGAGCTCTGCAAAGTTTTTCATTTTCAAGCTGAACGTTCAGATGGTCATTGGGTGGCTAGTCTGAATGGAGATGTCCTGCCAATGTAATATAAACATGGGTTTTCAAAGATTCAGTCCAAAAAGTATGTATCTAAATTATCTCTTTAATCATGTGGTATATGAATTACATATTTATACAATATAGTTTTGATGCGTGGATTAAATAAAATATATTATTAAAATTAATTTCACCTTTTTTTACTTCTTTAATGTGGCTGCTAAAAAATACATGGTTCACATTTGTGTCTCATTCAGTATTTTATTGGACAGCACAATTTTAGAAATAAAGCAAGCTGTGTTTCTGCAGGTATTCGCCCTGAATTAAGGGTCAAATATAGGTGTGAAAACTTTCTGATGTGTTACATATCCATTGATGTGTAAAACAACTTGATTTAAGTCAACATTTATTATCTCCCTGGTCTGTGTGTCAGGATTCTGGGTGCCACTTAGGTGGGCCTGCGGGCTCAGGGTATCTCATAAGCTGAAATCAAGGTGTCACCTGAGGCTCCCATCACCTCAAGGCTTAATTGGGGAAGGGTGCACATCCAGCCACCCCAGATGGTTGTTGGCAGGATGCAAACTCCTCATAGGCTGTTGAAGCCAATTCCTCATGGGCTGTTGAACTGAGGAACTCTGTGCATTGTTCCTGTTGGCCTAAGGCTGCCCTGAGTTCCCTGCCATTAGGACCTTTTCATAAGGCAACTTGCAACATGGCAGGTGCATCATCAGAGCCAGCTGGTGACAGAGTCCAAGCAAGATGAAAGTCACAGTCTTGGCCAGGCGTGGTGGCTCACACCTGTAATCCCAGCACTTTGGGAGGCCGAGGAGGGCAGATCACAATGTCAAGAGTTCAAGAGCAGCCTGACCAACATGGTGAAACCCCGTCCCTACTAAAAATGCAAAAAAATTGGCCAGGTGTGGGGGCAGGCACCTGTAATCCCAGCTACTCAGGAGTCTGAGGCAAGAGAATCATTTGAACCCAGGAGGTGGAGGCTGTAGTGAGCCGAGATTGTGCCACTGCACTCCAGCCTGGATGACAGAGCGAGACTTCATCTCAAAAAAAAAAAAGGAAAGAACGAAAAGAAAGTCACAGTCTTCCACAATCTGAACTTGGAAATGACAGCTCATCATTTTTGCCATATTCTTCTCATTAGAAGCAAATCAGGAAGTCCACACTCTAAGTAAGGAGATTGCACAAGGGCATAAATTCCAGGAGACAGGGATTGTTGAGGGCCTATTCAGAAGCTGCCTGCCTAGAACCAAGGAGTGCATGAAGGACACACAAGATGGTTCATCCTGGCAGAGGAGGAGCAGTTCTTCCCTCATAACTGAGCTGGAGAGGCACATGCGGCAGAAGGTAGAAGTAGACTGTCGTAGTTGGTAGTAACAAGTCATAGGACCAAAGCTGATGACATATTTGCTTTATCTCCATGAAGAAGGAAGCAAGATTGCCTGCTGAAGGAAAGGATGTGTGTGGTTTGGGGGCAAGCAGAAAGTTTGGGGAAGACCACCTACTAGAGAAACACAGTCCAACTACCAGGCAATGCCAAGTGAAAGTTCAAAATTACCAAAAGTTAAAACCAGTCAGCTCGATTGTGTGATTTTCTCCACCAACTTTCAGCTGCCAGGGTACTAGCTCAGACAAAGTGGCAAAACAAATATGCCGGCTTTAGGGTAGGAAACATTTTTTATCCACATGTTAGTGCAGCCAAGAAACAGTAGTGTGAATTATACTGGTTTATATTTCTCTCCAGTTAATTCTTCCAACCCACCCTGCCCAGCAGGCCTCTTTCTACTGAGCAGCCAGAAAATTAAACAGCCTGGTGTGTGAGCTTTTGATACAGCTGTTTTGGACCTGGAGTGCATGCTAATAATCTGCCTTTATTCCTCTCTGTACCCTGTATAGTGGCTCAGTGGGCAAAACTCTGAAGGACTTCAAAGGAGATCTGTGACATGGAACAGACCCGGGGGTCCTGTCTGCACATTACAGCTAAATACTGATGATAACGACCTCCAAAATATCGCTAGACCTTCTATGCTAAAACTGCTTTTTAAATCTAGCTAAGATTTATGATAGAAAACATACAATGCTTATGAAACAGGAGGCTCTAGTACACCTTTTAAGATACCCAGAGGTTGGATGGTTGGTTGATCGGTTGGTTGACTGGTTGGTTGTATGTTTGGTTGGTTGGTTGGTTGGTAGGTTGGTTGGTTATTTGGTTGGTTGACTGGTTGGTTGGTTGATTGGTTGGTTGCTTGCTTGCTTGGTTGACTGACTGACTGGTTGGTTGGTTGGTTGGTTGGTTGGTTGGTTGGTTGGTTGGTTGGTTGGTTGGTTGGTTGGTTGGTTGGTTGCTTGGTTGCTTGGTTGACTGGTTGGTTGCTTGGTTGGTTGTTTGGTTGGTTGATTGGTTGCTCGGTTGGTTGGTTGGTTGGTTGCTTGCTTGCTTGCTTGCTTGCTTGCTTGCTTGCTCGCTCGGTTGGTTGACTGGTTGGTTGGTTGGTTGCTTGCTTGCTTGCTTGCTTGCTTGCTTGCTTGCTTGCTTGCTTGCTTGCTTGGTTGCACGGTTGGTTGACTGGTTGGTTGGTTGCTTGCTTGCTTGCTTGGTTGCTTGCTTGCTTGCTTGCTTGCTTGCTTGCTTGCTTGCTTGCTTGGTTGCTCAGTTGGTTGACTGGTTGGTTGCTTGGTTGGTTGTTTGGTTGGTTGATTGGTTGCTCGGTTGGTTGGTTGCTTGCTTGCTTGGTTGCTTGGTTGCTCGGTTCGTTGACTGGTTGGTTGGTTGGTTGGTTGGTTGGTTGGTTGGTTGGTTGGTTGGTTGGTTGGTTGGTTGCTCGGTTCGTTGACTGGTTGGTTGGTTGGTTGGTTGCTCGGTTCGTTGACTGGTTGGTTGGTTGGTTGGTTGGTTGGTTGGTTGGTTGGTTGGTTGGTTGGTTGGTTGCTCAGTTGGTTGACTGGTTGGTTGCTTGCTTGCTTGCATGGTTGACTGACTGGTTGCTTGGTTGGTTGGTTGGTTGGTTGCTCGGTTGGTTGACTGGTTGGTTGGTTAGTTGCTTGCTTGCTTGGTTGCTTGGTTGCTTGCTTGGTTAGGTTTAAAGTCACAGGAAAAACAAGCCACATAAAGACGCAAAAGCACATCCCTTCCCACCAAATGCACATGCTTGCTAGGAAGATCATTTCATCCTCATCTTGTTGAGACTGTACTGAAGACCCATCAGTCCCAGGCAAACCCAGATGGTTAACCATACTTATTTACCCATGATCCCTCACAGAAGCGGTCCAGGAGCAAAGTTGCAAAGAAGAGAATTCCTAAGTCTGATCTTTTAGCAATTTCTCCTGATTCTCTGCACAACACCATGGTTGTGCAGAGTCATGGTTCTTTCTTGGCATCTCTGGTCCCTTACGCAGAGCTGACAGTTTCCTAGAAAGAAACAATCTCTCATGTTATTACTGTTTTCATTTCAGAGTGAATCAAATTCATCAAAAAAGATTTACCAGATGCTTATTATTTGCAAAATACAGTGATAAATGTGGCTGGAGACATGAAAGTATTAAAAAATTATTCCTGTCCTCAAAAAACTAATTTAATAGTGAATATAACGCAAAAATCTGTAGGGTAAAAAAGCCTAAATAATAATAAAACTGACACAGAGGACAAGCATTTAAAACATCACACGTCAGAATATGATTAACTGCAAACATATCCCTGGAAAAAGAGTAGCTTTTAGACTCCGAAAATTCATTTTGTTTTTGTTTTGTTTTTTAACAAAATAAAGGTAGCTTTTGTAGTGACCTGCTACCATTGGTTGAACAAAGCAGAGGAAAGGAATAGTTGTCACTTCAGACAACTTTTTTTTTTTTTTTAGACAGAGTCTCACCCAGACTGAAGTACACTGGCACGATCTCAGCTCACTGCCACTCTGCCTCCTGGGCTCACGCAATTCTCTTGCCTCAGCCTCCTGAGTTGCTGGGATTACAGGCACATGCCACCACATCCAGCCAATTTTTGTATTTTTGGTAGAGACAAGGTTTCACCATGTCAGCCAGGGTGGTCTCAAACTTCTGACCTCAAGTGATCTACTCACCATGGCCTCCCAAAGTGCTGGGATTACAGGCATGAGCCACCATGCCCAGCTACTTCAGACAACTTTTTAAGTTTGAAAACTGTGAACATAGGCTTTCAACTGAGACACACTGGGTCCCAATGTCATCACTGTCACCAACTAGGAGTTGGGAAACTCACTAATGCATTTCTTTTCTCACCTGAAACACTGGGATAATCTATCCCTATCTTAAAGTTGATGAGAGAATTCCTTGAAGTAAGGTGCAAAATCAATTAGCACATTACCTAGTATACATTGGGTGCCCAATAAATAGTTTTTGTCATGATTTGTGTAAGTATTAACAGGAAAATGGCAAGTATCACTTCACCTTCCCTCCACATTTTAACAATTCCTTTAATCTGAAAAGTCTGGTGCAATTCAAATTGTATATTAAGTCACAAGTGCTGCTGCATTGCCTCTGTGGATTGAAAAGGTACAGAGGACTCTTGCACGTTCATGTCTGAATGCATTTTCATTCGGAATGTTTTACATTTTGAAATTGTCAAATTCAGGCCATGTGTAATGCAAAAATTAATATAGTTGGCAACGCACTTAAACTTATGCATACAGCCTTGTCTGACCTTTCTTCCTATCATATTAGTTATCTATTGCTACATAACACTCCAAATGCAGCAGCTTACACCAACACATATTCATTATCTCATAGCTTCTGTAAGTCAGGGATCTGGGAAGGGCTGAATTGCATCCGCCACTGCAGGGTCTCTCCATGGGCTGGGCTGCAGCCATCTTATGGCTCATCTGGGGGAAGAACTGCTTCCAAGCTTATGAGACTGTTTTCAGGATTCAGTTCCTCTCAGACAGTTGAACTTAGGCTCTCAGTTCCTTGCTGCTGTTGGCTGGAAGCCACCCTCAGAAGTTCCTTGTCATGTTGGCCTCTTCATCATGGCAGCTTGCTTCCTCAAAGTGTTCAAGCCAAGAAGGCAATAGAGAGGCCAGCAGCAAAACGGAAGTCACAGTCTTTTGTAAGCTAATCCTTGAAGCTTGAAAACTGTGGCATCCCTTCAGCTTAGCTGGAGTAGGTTGATTAGAAGCAGGTCACTAGGCTTAGCCCATGTTTAAGGGGAGAGAATGGCACAAGGCCATCAAACCAGGCAGTGGTGGTCATCGTGGGCCATCTGAGAAGCCTGTGTACCACAGCCCTCTCTTAGAAGATCTTGGTCATGACTTGTCTACAATAAAGATGAATAAAACAAATAACATTGGAAGACAAACCAATGCTACCAAACGCACAGGGTCACAGAACCTACGGCGGCAGAGCCATATGTCTTCCTGCAGAGGCAGCTGCATCACTGATTTTTTTTTTTCTTTTGAGACATAGTTTTACTCTGTCACCCAGGCTGGAGTGCAGTGAGTGGCACTATTTCAGCTCACTGCAAGCTCCGTCTCTCAGGTTCAAGTGATTCTCATGCCTCAGCCTCCTGAGTAGCTGGGATTACAGGCATGTGCCACCACACCTGACTAATTTTTGTATTTTAGTAGAGACAGCATTTCACATCATCTTGGCCAGGCTGGTCTCAAACTCCTGACCTCAAGTGATCTGCTCGCCTCGGCCTCCCAAAGTGCTGGGATTACAGGCATGAGCCACCGCACTGGCCTGATTTTTAGTATTCATTGCAACTAAATAATCTCAGCATGTCCTGCACTACAACCTATCTGCCGCTTTAAAATTGGAATACCATCTTGCATTAATCTGAGTACAGTTGAATTTGACTACATTGAACCGTAATAACTTGAGGAGGGCTGGAATGACTGTCAGAAGTATCCATGAGCAAAACAAAAAGAAAAGACTGCTAAAGACTGTTGGAAACTAGCCCCAAATCACAGAAAGCAAATAAATTAGGGTATGTTTTTGGCCACTGGATTTGACTTTTCTGGTCTCGGTTTCCTTTGGAAACATGAGTGCTACACCAGATAATCTTTCAGACTCCTTCCGTCTTGAGAGTGACCCCAAGGTTTTACAACCAACTGCTAGTGAAAAAGCTGCAGTGTGCTAAGGCGCCTTTTCTAAATCCAAAAGCCTTCCACCAAAGAAGGGACAGCCCCAGGAGTGACCATGAAGGGTGGCTGAAATGAATGGTTTTCACAAGCCACGTCTGCAAAGCAGAGCTTAATTTTCTCCCACTTTTTGCCACAGAGGAAGCTAGTGAAAATTATCAAAGCTTTCGAAAGGTTGAGGGAGCATCTGGTGACAACAGCGCCACATCAGACGCTGAGAAAGGCTTAAGTGGAAGAGGGAACAGAGAAAAAAAAGCCTGTAGGTATTTCTAAGTGGAAAGTGGCTTTGAGCCAGGCATCCTCCGTCCTCTCAAAACACCTTGCAAAGTGGCATTAGCGCCTCATGGGTGCACAGTGAATACTCATTGGCTGAACAAAGAAAACTGGGTATTTGAAGGTTTTGGAGGATTTTTGTGTTGTTTTTTTCTGTAAGCTTGATATGGTATCTGTTGTCTTTCAGGTACAAATTCACAGAAATCAAGGATGGAAGGTGCTTGTATGTCCTCTGACATACGACAAGGTCCGGTTGACTCACTAAACTGCAAAACGCCATGCATACCTGTAAAAGAAAGGAAGAAGTAGCTTCAGTAAGCAGCCTAGTGAAATGGGAATCAGAACAGAAGGACTAAGATGAACTGGAAATGCCATGTTATTGAGCTAAAATCTCTAGAATAGAGACAGTGGCATCAGTTGGAGTCCTTAACAGTTGAGGTTTCCTGGCTGAACTGACTTCCCCAAGAGCATGCTAAGATGGGTAATACCATGTCTGCCTGTGACTCTCCTTTTAATCAGGTTTCCGAGTGGGCTCAACCTCCATTCAGAATGATGGTAGTAACACAGCTAATGAAAGAATGTTTTCTGCAATCCCAGCACTTTGGGAGGCCAAGGTGGACGGATCACCTGAAGTCAGGAGTTTGAGACAAGCCTGACCTACACAGAGAAACCCCATCTCTACTAAAAATTGAAAATTAGCTGGGTGTGGTGGCCCGCACCTGTAGTCCCAGCTACACAGGAGGCTAAGGAAGGAGAACCGCTTGAACCTGGAAAGCGGAGGTTGCAGTGAGTTGAAATCATGCCATTGCATTCCAGCCTGGGCAGCAAGAGCAAAACTCCGTCTCAAAAAAAAAAGAAAGAAAGAAAGAAAATATTTTCACTGGGTTAGAAAGTCCTAAAGCCGGGTTTTTTTTTTTTTTCTATTTTAAGCGTTCTGTATATAATATTCTAATCTCATATGAGATGATTTCAAAGTTTAGCTCTCAGTGGGAATCATGTTTCCATATTCCAGGGAAACTGGAGGGAGCCCCTTAGTTCTAACAGTAGTACCTACAACCCATCACCTACAGTGAGCTGATATTTTGGGCAAGTCTGCATTCTTTTATGAGCCACAAAACCATAAAGCAGGAACTAAGATGCAGAGACCCTGTAATAAATACATGCCTTCCACCAGCTCTTATATGTCTGGTTCATAAATTGCTCCATTTGACAGTGAACGGGGAAACTGGATGAGAAACGTGGCCTCAAGCACGTGATGTGTACATGGTCAAACAGTCGTGACCCACATGGCCGCATGACCAGATAAGACCTCATTCTCACTTTCTCTACAACAGATAAGCACCAGCAGGATGGAAATACACTCTTCTCTCCAATTTAATTATACTTATATTATTACTTTTCTTATATGCACATAAGCAGCAACAGCTAATATAAAGGGGAAATTGTAATACAATTTCCATGTTGTGTCTTTGTTGTCTACAAAACTATACAAAAATGTGTCTCACCCTTTAGTTGAGACCATTTAGAAGCCTGAGGGCAATTACACAGAGTGTACTGGAGTTACCCGCACAATCTCCTAATGGCAGCTTGGCCCAAAGCCAAGCTTTAAGCCAAACCTCAGGGAATTCCAATTTAAAAGTCAGCTACATTAGAGGTAGTGATTCAGTTTGGAGAAGATATCGCTTTTCGTGATTTATTACAGCCAGTGCTTTCAGTACATTTAAAAGATGGTCTAGCTTAGTCGCATTTTCAAAGGAGTGCTACTGCATAAAATGAGAAACATCTGAACTGGAAGCTATCAGAATGGAAAAGCTTGACTAGGGATTGAACTATGTGGAAAGCGTAATTCTTCTTAGAAATAGATCCCCAAACACACAAAAGAATCAGCAAAAATGAGCTATACTTTCAACACCCCAATATCTAACTCGTGATCATTTGGTAGAGAAGGGTCTGTTACTGTGAAGTATTTTTAAATGACCGCAAAGATATTAATTTCCTAGCTGCAGAGTAATCATCCAGTAACAAGAAT